GAAGAGTCACTAAAGCAGCAGCCACAGAATGGCTGGAAGAGTGAGCTGAGAAAAAAAAATGAGAATGATTGAAACAGAGAATTGTGCTGCCTATTATTTTTACTATTTTACAAATTAATCCAAATCCTACATAGTTCACTTGGACTTTTCCTACACTTTCTCTGTCTCTGGTGCAGGGAAATTTTATTATGCTGATTTAGTCCCTTGATTAGCTCATCATTTTTCTGTTGGGGCTTTTTTTTTTTTTTTCTTTTTTTTGCCTTAAAATGAGGAGAAAATAAGATATAACATTTCTTCTTTGCTACTCATCAGATTTTTGTATGCCATCAGCTGAAACCACACCTATTATAAATATACAATATCCATCATTTAAATTAGGTCAAAGTTTTTAAAATGCTCTGTAAGATTTTTCCATGTCAGAATAATTCAATCACTATCATGTTTCCTTGATGCAACTATTTTGGGATTTAGCTTGTTCCTTGATAGGGATTTAATTAAGTCATTTACATGTAATTTCCAAATAAGTAGCTGTTGCAAAAGGCAGCAAAGAAATGAAAAGGCAAAAAGGAGCCTGAAGGCAGGAGATCTTTAACAAAAATATTTCTGATATAGAAATGAATCTGAGGAATACATATTCAGTGATAAGTATTCCAGTCCATGTCTGGTAAACTCTCAGATAATGGCAGCATGGTGGGGTCACTGGGGTTCTATTAGCTCAATTAATGAGGAGTAAGATAAGGCTAACACCCAGCTCTTCAAACGGCTCAAAAATAGAGCTGATAGTAATGGAGTTATTAACCTTCGCCAGCCATTGAATTTTACTGCTGATTCCAACTCCATTTCCTAGTTCAGGCCTCCATTAATAGGCTGTTTATTATCCCTAATCCACATTGGGATCAGCTGCAGAAATACGAAAGCCCCATGTAAAGACCAAGTAGTTCAAAAAATCTCTTTTTTCCCCTCCCATCCTGATTTCTTCCTTTTCAACATATTCACAGATTCTTCCTTAGAAATTAGGGGCTTCATTATCCTAAACTGTTTGAGTACATGTTCTCAGCAGCGTGGTGAAAAAGAAGCTTCAAGTATATTATGTAAAAAGATGACATAATTGGGAACACAGCCACATCATTTTGAAGACCAAATAAAACCCTGCTGGAAAGCTTGCACTGGAGAAGCTCTTGCTGTTTATTTTCTCTACTGGGAAAGAAACAACTTTAATTTTGGAAAAATGGGTATTAGAAATGTATTATGGATGTATTGCCAGGCCAATCCTTTGGCTCAGCCCTCCCCTGCCCAGCTTTGGCTGTTCACTTGTATTATTTGTAATGTAATTAATCAACACTGAAAAGCAAAATAACTGACCCTGGGTTCAGATCAGAAGGACAAAACCAAGGAAATAATGGAGAGGGGAAGTGGCAATCCCAGGAGAGGCAGCAGCAGAGCCTTTGATGGGAGGGCTTGAGGAGAGCTCCAACACAAACCTGCCTCCAACTTTAACACAGAAATCTTGAGTTAAAGGCTCTCTTTAGATCTCTCTGAGTTTGAACTCACTCAACTGAGATTTTTGACACTTTGTAAATTTTTGGTGTATTTTCAGTGAAAGAGACAATGTTTAGTTACCCCAGTCTGCACACAGAAGATGTTCTTCCCAAAATCTGTCCCAGTAACATCTGATAGGATATCAGCAATTATGAGGGATGGAGTTAAGATCAAAATAAAAATGTTTATTATATCCACCTCCAGTACACAGAGCTGCCCTCAAATGCAGTTCTGGGTGTTCCACCTCAGAAAAAAAAAAAAAAAAAAAAAAAAAAAAAAAAAAAAAAAAGGGGAACCCCCAAAAGGGGGGGGAAAAAGG